ATCTTACCGGGATCTTTTAAATTCAATGGCGTCCTCCGTTTCTCCAGATTGGCTCTAGTTTTCGAGATAACGGTGCTTGAAAATCTGCTTAAATTTTAGGTTTTTTTGTTAATAATTACCTAAGTTTTAAGGTTATTTTACTAAAATTTTGCACGTGACTGTATTTTGATATTACCTTAGCTATTTCTGAAAATAACGGAAATCGGTTCACTATAACATATAGCTCCCATACAACTGATTGTTCAGATATGTGGTTTTGCGTTACAACTCATATTTTATTTCGTAATATTTTTTTTATAATAGTAGTTTATACACTGCTTGGACCTGAATTTGGGTTCTTTTCAAGCCCACTCTGGCATATTTTTGCAGTTTCTGTTATACGAATGGCTTTTTAATACCTTTTTTGTACTGTGAAAGCTGTTGTTCGTTAAAGTCAAAGTGACTGAGTAATGCTTTCAAATAGGCAGCAGTCTATACCGCGTCTATTTCACATAAGCTGGGAACCAAAAAACACAAACCGAAAATCTACGCGCGCGATTACTGTCATATTAATTGATAAAAAACATCGAAAATTTTGCGAAAAACTTTTATTCATCATATCATTGTCTTCGGAAAAAATTAAAAAGCTTTGCAATAAATTAAACAAGTTTTGTTTCGTTTGTGGTAAATTCGTTTTGAAATCAGACCAGCGTAAATTAGTCTCAAATAAAATTGCACTAGCATGCTATAAATGGTACTTTATGCAATCTTAACCTGCACAAGATAAATACACTCCCGAATTCACGTGTATATGCTGAGTGTATGAAATAGGTAAAAGTTTCTGCATGTTTGGAAGGTACCACGCCTAAGTGTAACCAACGTTGGAACCAGCCTGCAGCAGATGTCCAAATTTAAAAAAAATGGTGCAGAACTTTTTTAGTTTTTGCCCGCCGAACAAATAAACGTAACATTTGTATATCGATGGCTGAGTGGAATATCTACCTATCTCGGCAGCCAGTTCGGAAACGCCCTATCTCAGAAAAATTTTCACCAACGCCCTACTTCAGAATTTGATTGAAGAACGCACTATTTCAGAATTTTATTGAAAAACATCCTATCTCAGAATTTTGTTGAAGAACGCCGAGCTCAGCCATCGATATATGCATATATATGTACGTACATATACTCATAAATATTTAATTCAATAGACCGGTCTTGTGTCGTCTACAAAGGTGTACCGAGCGCTCATTTACCTGTTGCACATAGTGATGCATTACAAGTTCCAAATCATCCATCCGATCTCGAAACTGTCTATGATTGCAAACAGTCTATGGCAACGCCATTACCACTTGTTGATGGATCTGATTACATTCCGATTGAAAACCATTTACCGTCTTTCATATCCCAAGAAAACCTAAACAGCATGGTGCGAAAAATAAATCTCTCCCATAACAACGCCATGATTTTGGCATCAGAACTGAAAAGCATGAATGTTTTAGCGCCAGGAGTAAAAGTAACGGCCTACAAACATAGACAAGATCCGTTTATGCCATATTTCAAGTTATCGGAAGATGACACTCAGGCTTATTGCATTGATGTTGCAGGTTTGATGAATGAAATGGGAATTACTGACTATAAACCCGGACAATGGCGTCTCTTTATTGACGCATCAAAGCGAAGTTTGAAAGCAGTATTGCTCTATCGCGATAGTAGCAAGAAACCCGTTCCCATCTTGTATGCGGTTGGAATAAAGGAATCATACGAAACCATGCAATTAAACTTAGATTGCATCAAGTACGAAGAGCACAGGTGGCGCGTGAACTGTGATTTTAAAGTTCTCTCACTAATATCACGCATGCAAACGGG